ACATTGCACCTTTTGTTAAGCAATGTCCAGCAAAGTGCTGGTTTACAACTTTTACAAAAAGCTAAGAGAAATTATTCGGAAATTTTGAAATACAATGTGTCTAAATATTTAATTAAAAAAATTGAAATTTTTTTGCATGATAGTCAACATGATATCAGGCAAAAATTATCAAGGTCCAAGAAACAAGGTCCAAGATCAAATTATCAAAATATCAAGGTCCAATTATTAAGGTCCAAGAAAAAAGGTCCCGTTAATGATCTTGCCCTATAGTTATTTTAAATTTTATTTTAAATATTTGTAAAATTACAAGTTATATGTTTAAAAAGTAACTTTTAAACCAAGATTGAGGTTATTTAAACTTTATTGTAAACAATAAAGAATAACAAATATAAACCTTATCTATATTCTTTTTTTTTTTTTTAACTTTTTATAAAATCTATGACATAATTTTCCTTTGTGTAAAATAGTTTTTAACGCCATAGAGATATCTTGTCCTTGGATAACTAAAGAAATTTAAAAATCCTCAAAAATAAAGCAAACACTCAATGTTATGTTAGGAGGACAAATTAATCAATTTAAATAGAAAGCAGAAGTTTCAAAAGAATACAAGAAATAATTAAATGGCGCCTATTTCTGGCACCTATTTTTAAAAAGATTTACTCTAACAGAAAAACCTCAAGCCCAAAAAACAAACTATTCAAAGTTTTTAAAAAATTTTCTTTTATTTCCATTGTAAGTTTTTACAATGGAAATGAAAGAAAATAAAAAGAAAACTAGCTGAACTTACTTTCTATTATTAAATAGATTCAAATTTCACAACATTTTTTTTATGAAAATGTGAAAATATCTCTCCTTTGTTTAAAAAAAGAGACAAAAAATGATGTACTTAACTATAGACCGATATCTTTATCATCATTTAATATTATTGAGTCATTTATTTATGATATAGCTATGAATTATTTTATTGAATTTTTCTTGTAATACCCAAAACTATATAAAGTTGTATGCAGATGACAGTAAAATAATAAACATAAAATCAGCTGAAGATCCTATCTGCTATCTAATTGTTTGGAGTGGTTTGGCTGCTATATCTGCTATCTAAATGTTTGGAGTGGTTTTGCTGCTATCTAAATGTTTGGAGTGTTCATATTTATAATCGATTGTAAAATTTGTTATGATTTAAAGTACTATGATACTTAAAACTTAATTACATAAAATTGATTAAAAACCTTAAAGAAGTATTTAACACCTAATACAATAGATAAAAAACCTTGAAGCTTAGTGTCAACAAATTGAAAAATCAAAACAACCCTGAAAACTATTGTTTTGGCTTTTTTAATTATGGTAAACCCTAATACTTCTGATACTTCTAAATTTGCTTAACAGACAAAAGGTTCAAAATAACGGGTTATAACTGAAAAATGGTAATAACTTTAAAGAAGTATAACCCCCATTGGTTCATGAGATAAAAACTTAATTTAAAAAAGAAAAAAATAGTATTTTAGGTGGGTAGTTTATTTGTATATTCATTTTTTTCAATCAAACCATTGTGTCTTACATAGTCTAATTGGTGCAAAGTTGACTCAGAAAGGCGCTGTACAAGAGATTTTTCCATTTTTGAAAGACAATACTTAATTCTGTTGCGCAATTCTGTTGTATTCTGTTTTTGCGCAATTTCTCAAGATTATCAGCTTTTCAATTATTCTCATACAATTTTCAACATTCAGGCACATTTGCAAGGTTTTGACAAAAAATATATTTTTCTCATTCATGTAGTTTTGCCTAACAGAATTTGCCTAATGAGACGATGCCAGATCAGGTCAAAATATGTATTCGCCATCAGAATGATACTTTTTGATAAATGGAATTAGTTTTCTTTTGATACAATCATTTTTGTAGACTTCTTAGTTGATTGCAAAGCCACTTTCTCTGAATATTGGCGAAGATATTTCTTTATCAGAAAAGCAAATCCAAATTTCTTTTCTTATTTTGCAGTAAGGTTAAATTTGACACTTGTTGGTGTTTCAGAAACATCACTTGAATAATAAATATCATTTCCATTAATAGAAGAGAAACACAACTTGTCGTCAAGGATTAACAATTTATTAGCAGAGATTCGATACAACCAACCGCAATTTGTTTGAGCTGTCTCTATTTGGTCATAAGTTCTTAATGGAATCTTCTTCTTCTTTGGCCTGATTAAGGACTTTGTTTTTAATGTTTTGCTGATATATACTTGGATACATTTAAATTTCCAAACTGCTTGTGTTTGCGATATGCTGTCTTTTTGGTCAAATATTGTTTTAAGTCTTTCAATGTTCCTTTTTGTCATTATTTTAGTAATCCTACTACTTCCAGGGACTTTCTGGTATCCAGGATTATTTTCAGTGCGTTCTTTAATGGTATATATGGTGTTAATAGGAACTTTTTCAGCAAGAAAGTGATCAACTGTAAACTTTTTTCCTTTAGATTGATTTTTCATATAGATGCTGTACAAATGTTCTCAACGGGCTTCTTGATTTTCTTTCATTTTTCTCTGTAACAATAAACTATTTCAATTTAAAATAAAACAAATTTTGTAGAAAATTGAAAATACTACAAACTAGGTAAGATTGCAAGTATTGTTACATATTTTTGTCTTCAAAGTTATTACTGTTTTTTAGTTATAACCTGTTATAAAAAAAAATCATAAAATCAAGTCCTTCGAGATGTATAAAGCTCCAGATTGCATTTTTGAAGAAAATTTAGTGAAAAGAAGTTATGAAGGAAAATATTTAATAACAAAATACAAATAACAACTATTGTGTTAAAAAATTATGTATAAAACTTAAGTAAAGTTAATTTTCAAAATGATACCAAGATATATAGGAGTCTGCAGGAAAAAGATAAAGACTGAATTTAAAACAATAAAACTAAAGAAATTTCTCAACAAAAAAATTCTTCCATGTCTTTAACTTTAAAAACTTCTTCAACATTAATAGATTTTGTAACTGCAAAATAATCCTGAAGTTTGTCTAAAATTAAACAATTATTAAAGCCAAATTATGTAAGAGGTTTAGGAAAGCAAAACCACTGAAGTGGAATAAAGCCACCCTAGAGTATGAATCCCACTAATAAATCTTAATTGTTTGAAAATTTATTTTTAACTATTTATAGAATCCATTTAAAATCCAACAAGTCTTACAAAAACTGTTTCTCTGATACTTGTCGTTATTTATCATTACAATCTGAAAACATGATGAAATTATAAAATAAATTTATATAATTTAAATAAATTAAGTATAAAAAGTAAAAATGATAAAAATGAGTAATTAAAGAATTAGTAAAATATAAGTAATTAAAATATTTTCAAAAGAAGCGCAACTTTATAAAAAAAAAACTTAACCCAACTTTAGACAAAAATAAACTATAAATAACTTTTAAACAAAAATAAACTAAATATAAACTTAGAAATAAAAAAAAATGAAAAATGAAAAATAAACAAACTTAATAAATAAAATAAACAAAAGAAATAAAAATAAAGCAAACTTTAGTAACTAAATTTTTTTTGATAATGATAGAAACTTGTCAGATGTTTAAAGATTTTGTGCAATCTCTGAAAATGCTTCAAATCACCCAAAATATTTTACAAATTATTTTTTTAGTCGATAAGAATAGAAGGTTCTAATGTGCACTATTTAAAAAAAAAAAAAATTCCGATTACCCTAATAAATATATTTATAGTATATAATAAATACATTTGTATTTATTATATATTGTAAATATATTTATTAGGGTAATAAAATTCTAATAAGAGTAAATTTAAATTTAAAAGAAACTTTGAAATAAACATTTATGAAAAAATATGGAGGGAAACGTAGGGAGATATGGGAGAAGCATAGAAAACAGTAACAGAATTTTTTTTTTGTCAAAGTTGAGTTGTAAAACACAAATTGATGATATGAACTAATAGCCAAAGTTAACAATTATCTGGTAATAGTCTATTTCTTTCTTTATTTAGCATATCTCTTATAGTTAGAAAAAAACTTTCCCAAATCAGCTGATGTTAGTGGATGAATGAGAAACCTCTTGGCAATATTAGCTTCACTAATTGAATTATTTTTGTAATTCGGTAATTTTTGTAATGCGGTAGTGGTGTAGTGGTAGAGCGCTCGCTTCATAAACGAGTGGTTCCGAGTTCGATCCCCACCACGTCCCTGGTAGTACCGCGCTTAACTCGTTTCTCCGCGCAGCGGCCTTGCTCGTCAAGGTTTGCGTTTCGGAGTTACAGAGTTGAGAGAGGGTTATAACCACAAATAAGTAGCCTCCTCGTCTGTAGTGGCCTTCTCGGCCTTGAGGAGGTGAATTAAAATAAAAAAATAAAAAAAATTCTTCCCAAATATTACAATTAAGCACTTCTTTGGTCTAAAAATAAAATTTGAGAGATTGAGCAATGATGTTTTTATGAAGTTAGGAAAGTCCATGTAAGAAATATTAGATTCTTTCAAAACTTGTTTGAGTTTGTTTGATTGAGATTCTTTGAAAACTTGTTTGAGTTTCCCTTCTTAGATAATAATAATAATAAATTATTAATTTAAAAAAACTTTTAGAAAAGATCTAGAAAAATAACTAAAAGATTGCACAAACTATTTGCGATTTAGATGTTTTTAAGAAAGCAAGCAAAGTTTGTCTACTGAAATTTTGTAATAGGTTAAAATTCGACTTTCAGCAACCTTTGTTGGTATACTACTCATTATAAGTTTTTTAATTTTTACATCTAATATTATTTAAATATTAGTATTCAAAACACTATGTGCACAAGATTTTAGTAACTGAAACTTGAACTTAATATCTTTTAAAAAAAAAAAGCTGAACTAAAACTTAAAATAATTTATACCACAACATAACACCTAAAAAATTTTATTGTCTCAACACTGAAGACTTTTGGCTAAACAAACTACTGTTACAATTGGTCTTGACTAGGATGTTTATATTTATACACATAAAAATGAAATTATTACCTATATATGTCAACATCTTTAGCATTACTAACAGGGAATATCATATCATGTTTACTTTCTGCATTGTTTAATCCATTCACATCACTGTTGATATTAAAACGTTGTTTTTTTGAATTGGATGGTATATCCCAAGAAATCCATGTAGGTCCATGACCCTAAATGAGTGAGAGAAAAAGTAACCCTATAAAAAAACCCATTAAGACAAATTGTAGTTAAAAAAAAAATGTAACTATAATAAAATATATATAATAATATTCCTCTTAAAAAAACTAAAATTTTTAATTTGCTAGTTAAAATCTAATCAATTTTGTTTTGTTAACTAAAATTGATAAGAATGAAATGAGATTTAATAAGACTGAAATAAGATTTAAAGAAATTGAAACAGGGTTGACAAAAACCCGGTTTTTTTAAAAAAAAACCCAACCCAGTGGTTTTTTTTTTGGGTATTTTTGGTTATTTTGGGGGTTTTTTATTTTTTATTTTTGTTAAAAATTTTTTGTTTAATAATATTGAAAACTAATATCATTTTTAACTTTATGTTTATTTAAAATATATCTTATATGTTTTTAAAATTTATAACAACACCTTAAATTATTTTCACTAAGATTTTTTTAATTACAGATTTAAAAATAATTTAAAAATGTAAGAAAATAAAAAAAAATTCATGATAAACCTATATGTATTGATTTATTTTAGAATTAATAATAATATTTTTTATAATTAAAAATGCCCATGGGAAGTGAGAAAAAGAAAGCTGGAGAATAGGATGAAGTGACTGAAGTTGAAAACAGTACAAGGGTTTTTTTGTGACTATTCTCATGCTTTGATTAGCAACAAGATAGAACGAGTAAAACCCTATTTAAAATATTGCCAAAAAAAGTTTTTACACAAACATACAGAAGGGGACAATTTTTATTTGTCAAAATATTTAAATAAAAATTGTGATGATGTACCAAATAATGATTTAAATTTTATTGCATCTGCTCTAATACACTAATACTTACTACCATCTCAAGTTGAAAAAAGTTCTTTGGCATCTGTAAGTTCTATAAGTTCGTTAACACATTGTAAGAAGCAGCGGTTGATGTCATAGTACACAATATCAACTAATATGGAACAGAAAGAAAATATTGATATAAAAATACCAAAATTTTTCTTCAGTGCAAATGTATCATTTAAAACTTCTGAAAATCGAGAATTTATAGACATGATCAATTCATTGAGACCAGGATATAATCCACCTAACCGTAAGATGCTTGGAGGAGAGCTCTTAAATAAAGTTTACGAGAAAGTAAACAAAAAATGATCGATCAACTTACTCAAGAAGAGAAAACAATAACAATTATGCAAGACGAATGGAGTAGTGTTACTAATGATCCCATTATTGCTCATAGTGCATATGACTGACTTAGTTCTAAAATTTTATGCATTACTGACTGTGCATCAAATAAAAAAACAGCCAAGCATTGTACCGAACTCCTTTGTAATATTATTAAAGATCTTAAAGAAACATACAACAAAGAAGTATTCGCTGTTGTAACAGATAATGAAAACAAGATTATAAAAATTAGGGATTCAATCAAAGAAACGTATCCAAATCTTCTAACATATGAGTGTTCTGCACATTATTTAAAACTTTTAGAAAAAGAAGTAACACACCCAGGTGTCATCAAACATGTGGTTGAATTGCAGAAATATTTTCGCAAAAGGCATCAACCGCATGTAAATACTATTTTGCATTTGTGGGTTAAACTTAAAGTATAAAAAATATATAAAAGTTTAAAATTGACTATTCAATTTTTATTTTTTGGGATGGTTGCATGAGAAAGGAGGGTATATGCCTCAGTTATCAAACGATACCCGATGGAACTCCCAAATTGACTGTATAGAAACATACATAAAAAACTACCAAATTTATGTAGAAATAGTAGATAATCATGATATACCTATCAAAATGAGAAAAATTATTGAAAATCAAGCAATATTTAGAGAAGCTAACAGTCTTCAAACCTAACTCAAAATATTTGGTGTTGTTTAAGATCAAGTATTTAATTTTTTTATATTAAAATTTTTTTTACATTTTAAGATTTTGTAGGTGTAAAGGAAAAGTAATAAAAATAAATATATTATGTTGATTAAATAAATTAAAAATTAAATTTTTTCCAGATGCAAAGTGACAGCTGTCACCTATCCGAATGTGTTGAATTGTGGCTCTCACTTCTGAACAACCCTGAACTAAGTCATTACTACACAGCTATCAAAAAGAGATGCAATGATGCTATGACACCTATCCATTATCTTGCATACATGACCAATCCTCGCTTTTTAGGTAAAAAAAAGTTTTGCTTTTAAAAAAAAATTATTTTCACACCTATATGCTAATCTGAATTTTTTTTTTTAATAGGCAAAAATCTGCCGATTGAAAATGAAGATGAGGCTGAAGAATGGCTTTTCAATCATTATCCTGATTTTGTACCTGGGTTGATTTTAAAGGATTGTGATGCATTTCCTAAAAGGATGTTGAGCAATCAAATTATATCAACAATATTGTGCAGTGATTGGTGGTCTATCATTAACCAGAAAAATGAAAAATCAATTCAGAAAAAATTGCCTGAAGGATTTTGCAAATTTATTTCTAAACTTCAAACGTGCCCTGCTAGCTCAGGATCAATAGAAAGAATATTTTCTTTGTTTGGTTTTATTTGGTAAATTGTTTGAAATAAATTAGGATATGAAAAGGGTCAAAAGCTTGTGCAAATATATAGACAGTATCAAAAATAGAGAGTTGTTTTTGCAAGAAGTAAAAAATGTAATTAGTCTTGTCAATGTGTATTTATTCTAAAAAATCTTATTGTATGAATCTAATTTGTTTCATTTCCAAAATAAAATTGTGTTAAATAAAAATTTTGTGTTTAAATTGAAAATTTCCTTTTATAGCTAGCTCTATAATACAGGGCTCGAATTAACGCAAAAAAATCTAATCACAAAAAAAAAATTTTTACCCCCCTTCCCCCTTAAACCTTGCGCCGCTTTGCGGTAAAGGATGGGGGAGGGAAGTTGCATTAGTATATAACTTTATATATAATCTTATAATTTTTTTGTTTGGCAGAATTTAAAATAGCGTAACTTACTGTTATTATTTACAACTTAGGTTATAACTTAAAATTTAAGTTGCAGTTTAATAAACAATGACGTTTTTAATACTTTAAAGAAATTTTTTCAAGTATATTCTTACTTAACATGAAACTTAAAAAAGTAAAAGTAAAAAAATAAAAGAAAAAGCAACATTACAATATCTAAACCACTTTAATTTTAAAATGTTAAATTTAATTTTAAAATGTTAAATTTAAAATCTAATTGTTAAAAGCTATAAAACTATGAATAAAATATAAAAATATGAGCTTGGAATAATGTAAAACAAGTTCGTGAAGCTGTTTCATTTTGATGCATACAGTTTATAAAATAAAACGCATTTAAAATAAAAAGAAGCAAATAAATAAAATTGAGCTAATTAATAAACTAAATAAACTTCATATTTGCGCCTATAGACCTATACAAGTTTATAATCTATAGACCAAACGAGTAAGATCAAAGCAAAAAAACATTAGATACCACGTCTTTTATAAATTATCGTTTCCTGATCAAGCCTACTATTAAAAATTTAAGTATAATTAAGTTTTTCATTCAAAATTTACGATTTACGAAAAAAAAAATTTTATCTTCATTCTCCCTTGTTTCATCAAACTTTTTTAAATTTTTAAATTTTTTTTCAATTTCAAATTTCAATCACAAATTTAAATAAGTGAATTTTAAGGCTAAAGTTCTCTTGTTTAAATAGATTTCTTTTTAAATAAAATTCCTGTAAACAACTTGCGTATTTATAGAAAATGAAAATATAAAAAAAAGGTGTCGCATTTTTCATATTCTATTTGACAATTTTTGTTAAAATGATTATTAGTTAAAAGCTTGTATTATGTGTTAATAACATTAAAATCTAAATTGAAACATGTCTATGGCTAACTTTTGCGAGTATATTAAATAAATTAATATAATTGTTAAATTATTACTTGAGTAACTTTAAATTACTATCTTAACTTAACTGGTTGTTTTGATTTAGGTTATAAGTTAATTTACTGTGATATACTCTATCCATTCAGTAAAGTTAACTAAATATAACTTCAATAGTTTCAAGGTCGTTAAAGCAAAAAATGTGAAAGCAAAAAAGTTGCTGGTTTCTATTAGTACAATTTTACTAATAGAAATTTTATTTAATAAAAACGAATTAATATATATTTTATTATACTTAAAGTAGTAAAAATAATTATATAAAATTGTTTATAAAATAATAATTTAATTCATTATTAATAAGTTAATTTGGAGCAACGTTTTTTTTTTAAATAGATAAAAATGTTGTTTTATTTAAAAAAATAGAATTAAGAAAAAATTCTATTTGCTTCTACGCAAAGATTTAAAGTAATTTAAATGAAATAGTGCATTTTGTTAAAGAAAAATTTCCGCGCAAAAGAGCAAATGATCATGCTTCTATTCAAAAGATAAACTTTGCGTGACGTACTTTACTATTAAAACATTACTTTTAAGAATTGCCAAAAAAAAAGCTAAATTAGAAAAATAGTAAATAAACAACTAAAAAAGTTAACCAATTGCGAAAATGTATGTTTTAAGAAGAAACTAATCGCGAAAGTATAAAAAGCAATCACGATTCGCGATCGAGATACACTTAATTCGAGCTCTGTAATATGTTTTCAGAAATGTTGGTTAATATTATATATTAATAATATAATAGTTTATAAGATTATAGATGTATTTCAAAAAAAACCAGACTGCCTGGGTTTTATTGTGTTTTTTTAAGCGGGTTTTATTGGGTTTTATTGGGTTGGTTTTTTAATGCCAACCCTGGATTGAAATCATATCATCATATTTCTTATAACTAGACTAAAGGTGAATGGTAACTTTGGTAATTTTGTAATTTTCTTTTAATTTTACGATTATATGATTTATATGATTCTATAATGATCTAGGATTGATGTCTTTAACAGTCATGTTTAATTACTTTACTATCTATACTTAATTACCTATAGTTTCATGGTTAAACTAATTCAAATATATTATTGCAGCTGCCATATTTAATCCTTATTGCTTCATTCTTCTTTTTCACCAGAACAACTCTCTGGAGAACAAATTTTTTTTATCTTAAAATAAAAGTCTGATGCTATTACTACTACCAAGGATCAAAATCTTTGCAAGAACTTTTCTACTAAATTATTGCTTGATTTTAATGACTACACTTTTCCTGAAATCTCTGATAAATATATTATTAAATGGCTAAAATTCAAATCACTTTGGCTACCATTGTTACCATTGCTACCATTGTTACCATGGCTATGATTGTTAAAGTTATATCTCGCTTAAACTCTTCTACAACTTGTAGTCTAGACATTATTTTAGTTACAGTCTTGCAAAAGTGTTCTCCAGAACTTCACAAAATTATTATCTAACATCTAAGATTTCTAGAATAGGTGACATCTAAGATTTCTAGAACAGATGACATCTAAGATTTCTATTTTCTCTCAAACTATTACATTTAGCAAACTATTTCAATCGGTTTTTTTATTGTTTGACAATTCTTCTTACTTTTATCAGCAAAAACAAATTTTGATTCTACTGCTGATTTTTAACTGTAACAACAGAAGGACTTTAATATGTGTTAGTAGATGTCATTAGGCAAGATGAATTGCTCAAGAGGTACTCTTTTCTAACCATAGTATCGCAGCTTTAATTAACTGATCATAAGCAATTTCTTTTCTTTAAATAAATTTGTTTGCTAAATATTGTTGAATACTAAACCACATTAACATATGTTTACTCAAACCTTATTTAAACAAAAAGTATATTTAGGTTCAAGTTTGCAGACTATGCTAAATTCTTTGAAAATAACAAATAAATATCTTAGATGTAAAAGATTAACAATGTTAGCATAAGATCATTTTTATATAACAAAATACCAAAAAAAATTGATACCTTCTCACATTTCCCGCAAACATCATCCACCATCATTTTCAAAACAGCAGGAAATATACCCAAAAGTAAAAGTGTTTTATTAGGTGCTTGGATTGAACTGATGTATGGTGCATAGGAATACCAGCTGGTATGAATGATTGGTGGACATAAACATTTTTCTAAAAACATTTTTTTATTTTAATTGTTTTAAAATTTAAAATTGACAAACCACCAAAATATCAATTAAATTTATCAAAAAACTCTAAATAGCAAAAAATATTAAATGTAATAACGATAATAAACATGAATATAATGTCATGAATATAAATGAGATTTTTGATCTGATTATTTTGATCTCCATTATAACGTAATATTTTGATCTCCATTATAACGTAAATAGCTTTAATTATTTATATTATGAGGTATAGGATATGTTGTATAAGATAAAACAATAACTTTTAACTAAAGTTTCATTTTTTTTTTAAACATAATTAGTTAGTAAAACAAACTTGTAAAAAAAACCTGCAAATTAAAAAAAATTGCATATAAAGTTGCATATAATAACGTTTTCATAACATAAGAAAAAAAAGAAAACGAAATCATGATCGAAATCACAAAAGTAAGAAAATAATTATAAAAGACATTATACTCACAGTTACTTCTATTATAATTACCCTAATTAATTGAATACCTTATTTTGATGATTGTAATTACCTATTTATAATTAATCAGAGATAAAAACCCTGATAAACAAACAAGATAGGAAAAACTAAAAAAAAATTCTAATAAACTAACCTAATATTATTATTTAACCATGATAATGGGAGTTGGAAGAAAAAAAAGCAAAAAAAGAAAAAAAGTCTGAAGCAGGAATTTTGCTGAATAATCTTTTCTCATTTTGATTTCATTTTAAACTTAATAGTATGTAGGTTGGTAAAATAATTAACAAAATAAATAAGAATAATTCAAACAATTAAAACCTTTCACAACCAGTTGAAACATTTTAGAATCAACTCCTACATTGTTACTTGCATTACAAACATATGTTCCTGAGTCATTTGTATATAGGTTTAGTAAATTGATAGTTCCATCTGGCAGTTTCTAAACATTCATTAAAATTAAAGATTAATAATATTAAAATTTTCATATTTATAAAACATGATTGAGGGTACATGATTTTAACATTTACAGAAAGGTTATAAAGTTAAACTGATATAAATTTCTACAGTTAGCATTAGTCAAAAAGATTAATTAGTCATTAAGTCATTAATGGCCACACTTTGTTATTTGTTTGCTTTGACTTGGAAAGGAAAATAAACCAACTAAATGATTTGAATCAATTTGTTAACAGAGTGTAAAACTGATTTAAGTGTTATTAATGCTGCTCAGAATACTTTCAGCAATCATATGCTTAATAACCTCATTAAAAAGTTCGCCCCACTGTTTTTTCTTTACCAACAACCTTAAAGACAAGTAGAGATAAAAGATTGCCAATAAAATATCATCACAAAAAAATTGTGACAACAAACAAAAAATACTCAAAAAGAAAATGTACTTTGTTTAGTAAACCTATATTTCGAACGCTTCTTGTTATGGCTATAAATGGTTCTTGTTATGGCTATGAATGGTTCTTGTTATGGCTATGAATGCTTCTTGTTATGGCTATGAATGCTTCTTGTTATGGCTATGAATAATTTGACTAATTTTATTGTTTAAGACTCTACAGTATTGTTCACTATATTAAACATTAACAGTTTTCTCAGAGAATCTGTTTCAGAAAAGTAACATAACAAAAGCTTTTAAAAGTTTTTAGCAACTTTGTGGGAGTAACTAAAAAGGTTTTTAGCAACTTTGTGGGAGTAGCTAAAAAAGTTTTTAGCAACTTTGTGGGAGTAGCTAAAAAAGAAATAAAAGAAAATTAAATCTCCAAAACAATGTGCATATAATGTTCTGAAAACAAAAGAAAACTTTGTTACCCAAGCAACAACAAAAAAAAGGCAGAGCCAACAATGGAATAGTACTTCTGCTTTGAAACTTTTTTTTTGTATTAAAATATTTATATATAGAAATACTAATTATAAATATTTTTTGTTAAATCTGCTTTACAGTTTACTTTATGGATTTTCTTATTTTGTTAATTTGAATATTAAAAAAAATTATAAGTCTTTACAATTTCTAGATTTTATTAAAATTCAATTAAATCTCAATCAGATTCTGAACTTCATCAAAATTTACAAAATTTACAATATTACAATATTTATTTCAAAATTTACAATATTACAATATTTATTTCAAAATTTACAATATTTCTGTAACATAGTTACCCTAGAAATCAATTAAAATATCTAACAAGGAAATAACCAAAAAAAAATGACTAACTTAAAAGCACAATAAGAAAAACAGATAAAAAAAGATGCTAGATGACGTAAGTAAAGTTTCAAGGATAAAATAAAAAAGTTAAATAGGTGAAAAAATTAAAAATTGAGATTGTAGACGGTGTTAAAGAAAATAACTAACTAAAGAAGCTAAAAACAATTACTAAAATCTATTTTAGCTAGCATAATCAAAGATTGCTTATGGATTCATAAAAAAAAAATTGAGTAAACATTTTTATCAAATCGCTAAAAGCAGGTCTATTTCTGGATAAACTAAAAGTAGGAATCATTACAACCATTTTTAAAATAGGAGATGATAATAACAAATTATATCTCTGTATTAATATTACTAGTATTATAAAAGATCTTGATTGTATTATGTATAATAGACTATTTGCATTTTGCAGGAAAACAATGTTCTTTATTATAATCAATTGTTTTCAATCGAATTACTCTAGAAAGTTTTTATGCATTTAAAATAATCAGCCGAGCATCTTCTTATAATAAATGTTTTCAAAAAATCATGCAATTTATGTTTCAACACCAAATAGAAAAAACTCCTAATGCTTTTGAAATATATATATTTTTTAATATCAAATCATACAATATTCAATCTGCAAGAAGATTGAAAAAACCTTTTCACAAATCAAAAGTTACAAGATTCTACTTTTCCTATCCTGGTCTGGAACAATTTTAGAAACTAAATTTGGAGAAATTAGTACGGCTCAAAAAATCAAATAACACATTATTGAACTAATTGTCAATCAAGTTTCATTACTCGATTTTTCAAATACATTTTTTAACCAAGGTTACTGATGATAATATTTTTTCTTGTTCTGGCTCTCCTGTTTCATAACCATTATTTATACTTAATTTTATTATTCATTATTTTTAAATATTTTGTAATTTACTAATTGACACTTTTTTAATAAAAAAATTAATAAATAAAAATAAAATGTATGTATATATATACATATATATATATATATATGTATATATATATATATATATATATATATATATATATATATATATATATATATATATATATATATATATATATATATACATATATATATGTATATATATATATATATATATACATATATATATATATATATATATATATATATATATATATATATATATATAAATATATATATATATATATATATATACATATATATATGTATATATATATATATATATATACATATATATATATATATATATATATATATATATATATATATATATATATATATATATATATATATATATATATATATATATATATATATATATATATATATATGTATATATATATGTATATATATATATATATATATATATATATATATATATATATATATATATATATATATATTTCATAGTAAAATTTTGTGACACATAGTGACTGATCATTGTCTCAAGGGTCACTTTTATACATAAAATTTTTTTGATGCAGTAGTTCTATCCAAATACATGGCTCCATGATAAGGCCTAGAATATTGAACAGTCCAATTATCCTTCTTAATGAAATTGGTTAATGAGAGAGGTTTCTCCATCTTCTTCAGGTAAGCATACATTAGAGGCATCTTAGACATTACTCTATCTCTTTTGTGTGGCTTTCTTTTTGTAAAAAACAGAACCTTGGCCATCTGCGCAAACTTATACTGTCCTTGGAAGCCAAGATCATTACTACCAAGGAAGGATCTAGATACCAAGTATAGTTTTCTCCATGACTTCAGTACTGACTCAGCAGCAGGTTCAATCTGGGAACACTAGCTAAACTAATTGTAAATAAAATTAACTAGAATATTATTTTTATCTCAAAACACAGAGTCTATCATTAATTTCATTTGTTAAGCCTGTGTAATCCTTTATAATTTTTCCATCAAAATACACAATAATTGGCATATCAGCTTCCTTCACTTTATTTTTTTAGGTTAGTTCTGAGTGCAGCAGCACCCTGGTGTATAATCTTATAACCTTGAGATTCTTTGTTCAGAATTCTTAGATAATGTTATTTTGTCTATATCTCCACCAGACTACTCTACAATAGAAATAATTAAAGCATTTTCTTGATAAGGACTGATACCCATGCCCATGTCAGTTTTGGCAGTTTTAGACAAAATATCCCTAGGCATAATTAAACTTTGTTTTGAAGTCTTTTCTTGGGGTATTTCAAAATTATCCTCATCAAAACTAGGTTCACTGTCTGTTGTATCTGATGCTAAGACGAGATTTACTACAAGTATCATACAAATGTTATAATTACACTAAGTTTATTTTTATAATGATTCAATTTAAATATTAATGAGACATGTGACATATTGATAATGATGATTTACACTAAAGTGCCACAAAGAGACATTTATCAGCTAATGAAAGCATTTGGGCGATTATTGTGGATTTATTATTCTTTTCTTTAAATCAAAAACAATAATGGGGTCAAAACAAATATATAATTTATTACTAATTAAGTATTAAATTCAAACAAGTTAAAAAATTAGAATTTCAAAATCACGCAACCTCCTAGTTATTAAGTTCATAGATTATGGGACAATTAAATACTGAAAAGAAGATTTATATATGCGGCGATCTATTGTTAGAATTAATTGATGATTTATAAGGTCCTAACAATTCATCCTGCATTTAAATGGATGAACTTGAATTTAGTTTACTATTCCTACTGAATGTACAAAAAATCCCTTAAATAAGGAAATTTTAAAGTTTAAAACCGTTTGCAGGTGTTTAAGTTAACAACTTAAAAAAAAAGCATATCCTCATGTTACTATACAAAAAGACCTTTAAGAAACAGTGTGCATTAAAATTTTGATATGCCTGCAAAAATGGCCTAGGCTTTTATATATATATATATACATATATATATATATATATATATATATATATATATATATATATATATATATATATATATATATATATATATATATATATATATATACATATATATATTCATATATATATACATATATATTACATATAAATGTATATATATATATATATATATATATATATACATATATATATTCATATATATATACATATATTACATATAAATGTATATATATAAGTATATATATACATAAAGTTCGGCATTAGGTTGGCAAAAAAAGTTTGATACAAAGGAGTTACCATAAAACATAGAAATGAGGTCGGCAATTTTTTGCTGACCTTAAACAATGTTAAAAAAAACTAATAAAAACCTGTATTTTTGATGGATCAATACTTATATAGGATCCATTAACAATTTGCTCAAAAGTATATGTAGCTGGTGGAAGAGCTCTTGATGCTTGACATAAAATGTTTACAGTATCACCTTCGGTTACATTAACTAAAATATTAGGAGCTAATAAATCTTGTTTATTCTGGCGGAACGAATCAATCTTCGGTTCAACTGAAATGAAATTATAATATTTTATTCAAATACATTTTTATGACATATATATTTTAAAAATGCAAAAAGAAAACTACATTAAAAATATATTAGTTTCTTTCTTTTTTTAATTTTTTTTTAATTCTTCGATTTTTAAACTTTATTCATGAATCTTTAAGCATGAAAGCAACATTTAAAAAACTGCTAAAAATCTTTAAGCATGAAAGCAACATAAAAAAAAAATTATACTTTATTAAATGACCAAACTAACCTGCTTAACCAGTTTTGATATGAGATTTAATAAACATGGAGCTTAGCATCAGAAAACACCTTTTTACATCAATTTCTGGCAAAAATAAATAACTGTTTGTTCTCAAGAGATTTGTTTTTTTAAAGAGATGAAAGAAATGATTAAGATAAGATATAGCAACTGCATGAAAAAGTAAAAACCATGGAGTAGAATGAGGCTTGACCTGGAACCAACAAAAAGGAATAAAAGCTTCTGTACTTGCTGTATAGTAAATTATTGCTTCTATACTTGTTGTATAGTATAGTATACTATTGCCATATATGCCTGAAGCATTTATCAGAGAAGAGAGAAAAGACATCAGCCCAAAGACCATCACTAAAAAATCATGAAAAGAATGCCAGTCTGTTTTAGGGTAGTAGTAAGTCGTGTGATGATAGGGTGAGACCAAAAAAGAAACATAAGATGAAAGATTTATAGAAATCATTGCATGGATCACCTAAAGAAAAATAAGGAGAAACTAAACACAAGCTACGGTCAGAGACAAGACACAAATCAAGAAAAGAAAGTAAGTGATTAGGATTGTCTGAAAAACAAGTCACAAAGTTAACTATCAACAAAGTTAATTAGTGGAGTAAGGAATTAAGAAATACAGAAGTTATGAGCTTTCGTGCCAGCAGGGCCAGTGGTGTTAGATTCAAGCCATTCAGTGTGATGAGAATTAAAGTCACCAATAACAACAATACTGGCAAAGGGATGAAGACAAAGTGTGTGGTCAATTTGATTAGAAATTACATCTAAAAGAGTGCAACCTTGAGAAGAAGAAATAACAAAGCGAAAAAGTGATGGAGAGATGAGGTGTTATGTGGAAGTAAATAAAAAAATGGCTAGATGATTTAAACCAGATTTCTTGAAAAATAGATGAACTGATGCATAAGTATACCCACAAGTCAAGCATGTGACTATTGGAGTTTTTACAAATCAAAGGATATTACATATCAATACTAAGATCTGAAGAAAGAAAAGCTTAAATAAAAAATTTTAAATTAGTCTCATAATGAGCAAGCAAGTCTGGTGAAAAGTGGTAAGATTCTATAGATGGGAAGTTACTTCAAAGACCACAAACATTTGTTAAAGATGTTTTGAAACAATTAGATAGTGATGATGGTTTTTATGTTGAATATATAAGGTTACTTTGAGATGGTATAAGTTTAGAGTTGAAGTTATTTATCTTTCAATTTATCAAAACTTTTTTATTCTTTTAACTTCAGCGTTTTGTTTTTTTTAACGTTCAGTTTCTTCTGTTTATTTAATGCTTTTCTTAAATTTTTATTCTTTAATACTTTCGTTGTTTTCACTATATTAGTTGTTTTTTTTTAATCTTCTTTACTCTTTTTTATTTAGTTTTTTTTTCCTCATTTAACTATTTTTCACCTTTTCACTAATTAAAAAATACTTTCTTCATTGGCAATGTCATCACAAAGTGCGAAGCATTTTGCCAAGGAGGCCTTTGACAAGACAGTAGCTGGGTGCCATTAATATCTGCAAAGCTGAGTATTATATTCAAGACACCATCTCCAGCCTTTACTCAACCAAGAGCATTAAGGCAGGGGAATTTTAAGTCAGAGTTAATTTCTCTTAGCCTTTGCCTCTTAGAAAACCTAATCTTTAGTTTCACTTGTTTGCTCATAAATTTTTGTTCACAGACTACAAAATATCTTTAAAAATTATAGTAAATTCTATTAAAATTTCTTTTTCATTAAGTAAATGAAGCAGATCTTTGCTCTCTTTTCATTAAGAGAGCAAAGATTATACTTCTATTCAAAAGTTTCATACTTCTATTCAAAAGATAAATTTAGTACTTTATGTGCGTACTTTATGACCCCTAATAAAAAATTTAGACAAAAACATTACTTTTAAGAATGCCTAAAAATGATAATTTAGAAAAGAAAAAAAATTAACAAAAAAAAAAACAAATCACAAAAATATATTTTTTAAGAAAAAACTAATGGCGAAAGTGCGAAAAGCAATCGCAATTTGCTATCATGATACGCTTAATTATTTTTGAGTCAACTCTTATTTTCTTATGAATTATCTACTCCATCTTGAAGCAATTTAATACAAAAAATTGCTGGTACTTAATGGACAACTGGTCTTTTTGCCAAAAATCAGGCGTAGAATCTATCATTACAGAAAAGTATTTTAACTATATAATATTACTTCTCAATGGGCATGCATCATCTGGGGGACATCCATCAAATGTTTCACAGATGTCCAGACATCCATAAGACATCTGGTAGAAGTATCCTGGCGGATGCATGCTCACTGGGATACTATTATATGTAAAATTTTTGAAGTAAGTTGTAAGATAATTTCATTTTGAATTTTCACAGAAAAGTACGATGCAATTATATTTTTCCGTTTTAGTAATTGATTTTAAAAGCACTTTCAATTCTGGAACAAAATCAGAAATTAATTCAATTACTCCTAAAAAATTACTGTTATTTGGTTCAATGAGTTTTTTGTTGCTGCATTTAAAAGTTAAACTTTCCTCACTTAAAAACAATACCGCTTTTTTTGATTCATTATTATTTTCCATTTGCATTTTTCTTTATAAAAAACATCTTCAATGAGATGGTCTATTCTTGTGCTGTTAATGTTAAATTTTAGAATTTTCCATTCGTACACTGATTCAAGATGTTCCTTTGAAGACTCATTTCAAATTTCAACTTTTTTAAAATAACTCATATAAACTCATTTCAAATAACTTTTTTAACTCAAATAACTCAAATTTTTTAACTCAACTCATTTCAAATAACTTTTTTCAAACAAATTTCAAATTGAAGACTCACTTCAAATAACCATATTCCTGTATGTCCATAACCAGAAAATCTGCTTGAAGTTAAGCTTATTTTTATCGATGAAAACAAATGAAAACAGAAGCAGAAAATAATTCCTGTCGAGCTCCTGTAAAACCATTTTCATAATTTTTTTTTTCACCATTTTTCATTTGTTGATAAAAAAAAGTGTCAATGGAACATCTTCTTTGAGAATTTCTTTTATAATGGATACCTTTGATTGTTTAATGACTGCTCTGCCATCTGTTTTTTATTATCAATTTTAACAAGCCAAGTTGCAGTGTCTAATATATCATGATTGAATTTTGATAAAGTACCTCTCTCTATTTGTGAATTAGTGAAAAATTAATTTCTGAAATATTGTTAGATATAAAATCCTGATTATTTACGCTAGTACGCTGTAGTTAATGTTTCATTTTAATTTTGTGTTTTGTTGATATATTATGTTAGTGAAAAACTAGTAAATATTCCTCGAATTTATAATAAAAAAGTTTATTATCAAAAAGTAACATGGTTTTAAATAAGTTTTAACTTTTGGTAGTAACTAGGTTTTTTAAGATTTTTACTGTTAGTTGTTGTTAAACAAGTTTCTTATTAGAAAAAAATATTCTTAAAATTTGAGGCCCCATAATTATAGGGGTCTCAAATATTAATAAAAATTCCATTGCAATTGCACTAGTTGCACTTGCGATAGTACAGCTCTGTTTCTCTTTTTTTTTTTTCAAATAACTTATTTCAACAAGTCTAAAGAATTATTTTTAATTTTAACATCAAAATTTAAATAAAAAAACATTGATTAATTACAAGCCGTAGGAAAATTTTACAATTTTTAAACTGAAAAACTGAATTAAGTTAAATTTCCTGCTTCTAAATTTCTTTCTTATAAAATTTTTTTACAGAAAATAAATTAAAAACAGATAAATTACCTCTTGTGACAGTTACAGAAAGTGTAGCATTAAACCCAGGATAATTCTTAGAACTTAAACCATCTGAAACAAATTTGACAAGCATTGTTTTAGCATTTGCGACAAATGGTTGTATGTTGGTAAGTACACCACAATAACCTTCAACATTTTCAAGCTGCAAGCAGTAAATACGATTTTAAAAAATTTAATATTATTATTATTATTATTATTATTATTATTATTATTATTATTATTATTATTATTATTAAAATATCTTAGATCATATAGATCCATAAAATAAACAAAGACACAACTACAACACAAAGATAAAATAAAAACAGTTAAGAACAGCACAAGCTGTTTTAAACTGTTTTATTTTTTTTTAATTTTATTTTATTTTTTTTTCATCATCTTCCCGTCCAACAAGTTACTGGAAGAGAAAAGATGAAGATTGTAGAGCAAGATAATGATTGACGAATGACTTAAAAGATTATAAATTATATGAATCAGGAAAGCAAGATGAAGGAAGCGAATTCCAAAGAACTGATGTTCGAGGGAAAAAACTAGACGAATAAGAGTTTTTAGAGCACTTAGGAAAAGTAACAGAAAAAGGATGAGACTTAATTGAATGACGAGTAACACGAGAATGAATTTTAGTAGATAGCACATATATATTTTATATATATATATATATATATATATATATATATATATATATATATATATATATAATATAAAATATATATGTATATATATATATATATCAGGCTTGGTCGGGAAGCGATCGCTCTCGAATACTGACCACGGAAATTATATTTAGTTGCGAAAAACTGGCCAGGTTTTTTAGTCGTTTTGAGAACATTTATCTACGAAACAAAAAATTTTTGTTTTACAGACACACATGGAAACATAATAAACTTGAATGTTCTCAAATTATCTTCGTGCGAAAGAATAAAAGAATATTCGCGAACAATAAAAACCCGCAAAATTAACGAAGAAACTAATTCTATTGGTTCAAAAAATACGCTGACTTAGCGAAATAAAGTTCTAGAGTATTCCGTTGAAATGTTTTAAAATTGTATTATTCACGATTTGTTACGTTTTGAGATTTCTAGGATAAATTGTTTTAAGAATATATATTATTTGTTTACTAAAATAAATGTTTTAAATGTATATTAATTAAATTGTCAAATTTTTAAAAGTTTACTATAAATTATAGATTTTATTAGTATATTCTTATTTTTTATTTAAAAAGTATGTATTCTTTATGTAAATGTAATTGTGTGTAGCTGTTTTTTATCGTAATGTATCTTTTAAAGCAATTTTTATGATTTAAACAAAGACTTACAAAGATAATTGCGTTTTTAATTAAGTTATAATCGTTATAGTTAATAAAACTAACTATGTAACAAACATAAAAGAAGTTTCTGGTTACTAAACACAAACAATGCACACAAAGTAACTCGCGGATGAACAAGCACCGCGCCTGAGGTCACGACAGAACACAAATATATATACCAAATACTTAGATATAAAGAAAAGTTTCTATATATTGGTTTACTAAGTCTAATTTTTTTCGCTTAAGTTGCCATTCTTGAAACTCGTTATACTTTTTTCTGCTTTAAATACTAATTAAAATTAAAAAGCCCACTCACTAAACATCATCAGCGATATTGTGAAGCAGTTTCGCTTCCTTGTCATAAAGTTTTAACCTTTTTAGTTGATTTCTATCTTGATAATTTAATTTCTATAGTAATTCAATGACTTAATTATTTCATTTGTTTATCTTACTAAGAAGAATTGTTTCAAATATGTTAAACTTTTCAAACTACGCGAAACATAAAATAGGTATTGAAAAAATTAACTTTTATTTATAAAATAATTTAGCTTAAATAAAACTAAAACTTGCAAACTTTGCTAAATAAAGAGCATTTGTTTCCTTTTTAAACAACCGTAAGTTGTTACTTTATTTAAAAAACATCGCCTAATTTTATAAAAAAAATTATAAAAGAGCGATGTTTCGAAAATATTTGTTTTAAACGTAATTTATTTAGCTTAAAGTTTTTTCGCGTTTAAAGATATTTTATTTGCCTAATTTTTTTTTTTTTTTTGTAATTGTGTCTCATCGGTCCAATTAATCTTTTGCGTTTTTTTTTTGTTTTTTTTGCTTTTAAAGATGACTAAAAAATCTGGCCAGCTTTTCGCAACTAAATATTATTTACGTGGTCAGCAAGCCTGATATATATATATATATATATATATAAAAACTAGAGCTATATACCCGCGGTATCAGGAATAAGCTAAATGCTAATTTTTATAATATTATTTGCTCAGAGTTTCATGTGTTACCACAATCTTCAGGCAAGTAGTCAGGCTACTTGTTATATATACAGTAATATATACTATATATATATATAGCTAATTCCTGATACTGCGGATACAGAACAGTAATATATACTATATATATATATATATATATATATATATATATATATATATATATATATATATATATATATATATATATATATATATATATATATATATATATATATATATATATATATATTTATATATATATATATATATATATATACATATATATATATATATGTATATATACATATATATATATATATATATATATATATATATATATATATATATATATATATATATATATATATATATATGTATATATATATATATATATATATATATATATATATATATATATATATATATATATATATATATATATATATATATATATGTATATGTATATATATACAGCAACTTAATTTAATGAAATTAACAAATAGTTTTACAATTTACCACACGATAGATATTTGTTGTTTCTTCTCCAGCATATTGATAAAATATCATTAAATAGTCATACTTTGAGCAAAGTTTGTTAAACTCCAAATTGAACTGATCAATTTTTAATGTTAAGTCTGCACTATCTGTTTTAGTTTGAATTTTCCAGGCACATACTTTATTTGGTGGGTAGCTACCAGAACCAAAATTGGGCGAAGCTATTACTGTTGTGCTATTAATGTTCAACTGTTTACAATCAGAGTTATAAACTAAATAAATAAAAATATAATTTTAAACTCAATAAATAAAAAATCTTACTCTGAACCTATCATGCTTAAAATATGTTAAATCAATTAATATGCCTCTTGGGTATAAAAAGAACTATGCTAGTCATACCATGTTATTGTTTTAGTATTATGCTTTTAATCTTAAATATTCAATATATTTAATACTATATATTTTATTTATTAAATTTTTCTAATTTAGTTTTATTTATTCAATCCTGCTCATTTAAAATAAGACTTTAAAATAGTTATTAAAGTTTTGTAAAAAATTTTTACAGTTTTTTTATTATTTTTAAATTAACTGGCTGTGAAATTAATTTTTTGTTTAAAAAGCTCTCTGAACTAAGTAAACTAATGCATAACAATAAATTGAAAGTAGTAGTAACATTTTCAGTTGTAATTCTTCAATAGACATTTGCAACAATTAATAAAAAGTTTCTTATAAAGCAGTGATCCCAAACGTAGGTTATAATGCCCCCTAGAGGGCTCTAGACTAAGTCAGGGGGCATAGTAGTGATGGGAGGACAATTTTAAACAATAAGTGGATGGTGGAAAACATAAAAAAGGAGAGAAGATAAATCAATTTAAAAAATAGCTCCTAACTTTTTTTTCATAGATAAGAGCCATAGATAAGATCATAGATAAGAGCCAAAATCATAGATAAGAGCCATATCCTTTATACTATTAATGTTATTTGTAAGTTAACGTTTATATTTGTAGGTTAACAATATGTTGCAAATATTATATTTGCAACATATTGCTCCTACTACATCTTATTAAATATGCAGGTAAAAATGTTAATATATTTATATTTCTGTTTTTTCTCTTAAAAAAGTGGCACTGCATTATTATAGTATGTTTCTAGAAAGGAAGCGGTACGCCATTTATGTTTATGAACTACACCTGTTCAAGATGTAAATGAGAACATGAAAGTTGTAATTAAGAAGTCGTAATATGTAATTAAGAAACACAACATGTAATTGAGAAAACGTTATATGTAATTGAGAAACACAACATGTAAATAAGAAGTCGTAACATGTAATTAAGAAACACAACATGTAATTGAGAAAACGTAAGATATAATTGAGAAATCATAATATGTAATTGAGAAATCGTAACTTGAAATTGAGAACACATAAATTAAAATAGCAAATTCACAGTCTAAGTTTGTAGGTTGTTACAAAAGGTTTTTTTGGACATGAATTTAAGTTATAATCTTAAATTTTGCTTTTGTATGCACAAGTAATAATAATGGAATTGAAAAATCGTTGTGTTATATGCCAATACATTATGACCCGAAAGTCATTAAGACCCGAAAGCTAAATCCGTGTCAACATTTATGTCACCAAATTTGTTTTCGTCCAGTTTTGGAACAACCAGATTCAAGTTGTCCGATTTGTCGGCATGAAATACACACAACTGAACAAGTTGAAAGGAAACGTTACGTTTTATCTTCTTCAAATGACAGGAGAAGAGTTGTTGAATGTGCGGAGCGATTTGAAGATTGGGTGAATCTCGCGCAAACGCTAGGTATCAAATATAAGACAGCATACAATTGGGTTCGCAGCGGAAATTCAAATTTCATCGGAAAAGGAGGTTTTAAACCGAAAAAGTTGACCGAAGATCAAATCGAAGAAACATTAACATGGATTGAAAATGATTGTCAATTAACATTGGTGGCCATCAAAACAAAGATATTAAGACAATTTAACATAAACGTTAGCACACAACAATAGCAAATTACCTCGAAGGCAGATTGTTCTCATTAAAAAAAGTGCACAAGGAGCCTTCTACAATGAACAGTTATGAAAACAAACAAAAAAGAGCTGAATATGTTAGAAACATCAACGAACATATCACAAATGGTCGTCAGATAGTTTGGTTGGATGAAACAAGCTTTAACCTTTTTTGTAGAAAAACGCAAGGACGCGCGAGACAAGGAAAAAGAGCAATTATGAAAGTACCTGCTTCAAAAGGTTTAAACATACACTTGATCGCAGCTATTTCAACTACAAATGTCGTCATGATAGAAACTCGCAGGGGATCATTTAAAGCAGATTCCTGTAACGAGTGGATGTTGGCTATGTTTCACCAGTGGGTTACATCCGGGAATCGTTTGGAGGATTTGGTCGTCGTAACAGATAATGCTCCTTGTCACGCTCGTTTGCAAAGAGTGTTTGATAATTCACCAGCTCAGTTGTTACGTTTGGGACCTTACAGTCCAATGTTGAACCCGGTGGAAACGATCTGGTCCAAAATTAAAAGTAACGTTAAAAATGCAATTCGCATTCCACCTGTATTAGGTGACGGGATTGCGGAACAGCGCATGCAGTACTCAGAACGAATTGTAATTGAGGCTAAAAATACTATAATGGGAGGAGATTGTGCACGTGCGGTACAACATACAACCACGCACTATGCAACTATTTTAAATATGGAAGACGTACAAGTTGGTGCTTAAATGATCAATGAAGTGATTTTTAATTATGTAATTTTTAGTTATAATTTTTAATTGAATCATAAATTTTTCCCTAAAATGTTTTTAGTGTTTATTATGTTAAATTCATTTGCCCAAAAATTATAAATTTTTCCCTAAATTTTTCCTTAAAAAATTAAATTTACGCTACAAATCTTGCGTCAATTTTAAGTGCGTCATTTTATACGCTCCATTTTTTTACGCGCCATTTTTTTTAAGCGCCATTTTACACTTACTCCTTTAAAGCGATATCTAAATTAAAATTTTCGTGTTCTCAATTACATCTTTCTATTTCTTAATTACAACTTACATTTTCTCAATTACATGTTACGATTCTTAATTACAATTTTCGTTTTCTAAATTACATCTTATGTTTCTTAATTACAACTTACGTTTTCTCAATTACATCTTACGTTTCTTAATTACAACTTTTGTTTTCTCAATTACATCTTACGATTCTTAATTACAATTTTTGTTTTCTCAATTACATCTTGAAACTAAATTTGTTATGGAAAACTTTATTAAATGCTTTTAAAAAAGAATAAAAAGAAAGCTCTTTTAAATGAAAGAACATTGAATGTCATTTAAACTTAACATGGAAGCATTTAAATGTCATTTGATGGAGTTTAAAAAATTCTCTGATTCTTTTTTTTTTTTTTTTTGAAACTAATTCACTCATAAAAAGGCTGCAAGCAACCACAATGTAACATTCGCAATTAACTTTGAAATGAATTATACATATGATTTCCATATGAGGCCAGTAGTGAAAGATTATCCAAGAAAGTATGAGAGTTAGTATCAACTACATATTTGTATTTGGTAAAAATAATTTAATATGCCATATTTGATTAAAATTTGTTTTTAAATTTAGTATTTTTAGTATTTGTATTTGATTAAAATGAATTTGCAATTCCATAAACTACGTTAACCTGAGTGTTTTTTGAAAAACTACTACTTGTTCAATAGCTTATTCTTGCGTGCTTAATACATGGTGGTGTAGGAATACAGGGATGGATGAAACATTTTGTCTATATCAAACAAACAGGAAGGAGGGTGGGGGAGGTGGCGTAACGGTTTTTTTATTTAGAAGGCTGGTTTACACTGAAAGTTTTTTTGATATATGCGTTTAAGTCACCATTAACAACAATAATGGCTGATGGATAAAGAGAAATGTTTGCTCAATTGGTTCAAAAATATCATTGAACAGAGGGCAGTCTTTAGAATCCATGAAAAAAAGTTATATAGAATTTCTATAAACTTTTGAAACATGGCCTATAGAATTTCTATAGAAATTCTATAGAATGTTTTTCAATCTCTCTAGAATTTTTGGCAAATGATAAAAATTTCTATAGAAATCAACAGAAATTCTATAGAAGTTCTATAGAATTCTATAAAATTTACATAGGCCATGTTTCAAAAGTTTATCCAAATTCTATATAGCTTTTTTTCCTTGAAAGAACTTATTAAAAACAAAAAGGTAATTAAGTAAAGTATTAAACAAATGTGATAAAGCTACAGTTAAGAAGAATAAAATTTTTAAACATAATGAAAATTATTTTGCATTATTACATACATTGACTATCGTGTAGCCTGCTGCTGCAAGGGAGTATGTTGCTACGTCAACTGAGGGTTAGAAATGGAGTAGCAATCATTTTTTTTTTGTTATTATTCTAATAAATATTTCTTATGTTTAAAAATTTTCCACTGACGAGAGCGCAAAAAAAAGCGGCCGCTTAACTCGAGGATTACCACAAAAGCTTATTAAAAGATATTCGGAAGATTCAAACCTGATTTTAGGATAATTGGCTAAATTGATATTTAAGTACATGCCCAAGCCAAGCTTGTAAATTTTGGAGTCTTTGCTTCTAATAAGTCTGAAAAGAGTTTAATATCAAGTAAAAAAAAAAAAGAGTTAGAAATGAGTTTTTCGAATTAAACATTGCTATAATTGAAATTTCTTTTATTTTTTCACATTAACAAGTAATAACTTTGGCACATCAGTATTATATATAACGAGTGTTGTGGCAAGTAGTTCAGAGGCCTTTCCAAAAACCAACCATTATAGCCCTAAAATCTTAAGAATTTTTCCATTAAGGATTGCAAATAAAAAAAAGCTCCTTAAATCTTAAAAAAGACCCTTATATATTATAAAATCGGGCCCCCTAGAATTTTCGCTCCCCCCCCTCCTCCCTCCTCAAGTTTTTTTTCACTAACGTCAACTTCAAGGCATACAAGACATAAAATATGGCAACCTAATCAAGTTTTGAAACTGATACGGTAAAAAAATACTGCTTATATGTTTTAGAAACTAAAATGGCTTGATTTTCAGTTTTCAAAACCAATACTTGCTTAATACATCCCTATCGCTATATGACTTTACAAATCTCGCAACACCACATCCACTAATACTAATAGCTTATTTTTAAAAGGTTTTATTTAGAAGGTTATATTATAATAGAAGTTATATTATAGAATTATATTACAGAGGTTAGGGATTGTCCATAAAGTA